TAATAATTTTCTTATAATCAATAACTCCTAATAAGTATTTCTCAATTGACAATATAGCTAATCAATTTAACTTTCTTGTGACATTGTTATTCTTAGGTAATATTTTATCAATTTTAATTTTGAAAACTTCTTTCCGTTGAAGCAACGGTAACATGAGTTATGAACATTATTCCATAAGCAATTTAGGCATTTGGAAAAAAAAATTATTTGATTAAGTGTATCAATTAAACTGTTATCTTCTAATTGTACTATTTTTCTTAATACTTTTAATTCAGAAAATAAATCTAAATCATCAATATCGAATTGATTATTATACTTTAAGGAACATTCAAGATTAAGGCAATATCTTTTCAAATTTCCATCATCTAGTAATCTTAGTTTTTACTATCAAATAGAAAATCAAAAATATTTTTATATACTTCGAATTGTTCAAAATCTATGTTGAAGTGGAAAAATAGTCTTGTCTATTATGTATAAAAAGTAATCAACTCTAAAGGACTCTTCGAAAGATTTTGAGATTTCATTATCAACAATCGCATCAAATTGTTACTTCTTATATATAAAACGTTTCTTATGTAATTCAGGTTCGATATTCATTTCAAGTGCAATTTCCTTGGTAGAAATCATGCAAATCCTTCTTCTCTATATTTGTTAAGTAAAGAAATCAAACTTTTTTACTTTACAGAACTCTTTTTTAAACTTATACATAGTCTGTTAGGTGTAACAGCAAATGGGCCCTCCGCAAATATGGGGTCTAAAGCGGTTGCTTTACTTACTTTATGGAAGGGCCGCCCATGGTGAGAGTCATAGAGAATAATATTATTAGTAAAGAATTTCAAATATTCCGGACCGTCCTAGAATAAAGGTATATAAATTGAGACATAGGATCAGATATCCTATTTATATTTACCACAATTAACCTAAGGTTGACGCTTTTTTTAGTGCAAATCCATTCTTCGTCCTAATGACACAGCTAAAATTTGACTCCAATTATGTTAAAATAAAAAGTGGTGGTAAAAGTGAATAGAAAAAAACTTCAAAGAAATTAATCATTTGTTTTCTAGGTGGATATTCTAAAGAATAAGACATTTTCTGAATATTACGAGGAATAAAATACTGCTTCAGGAAAAGTAGCCATTTCGACAACCACCTGAACAAGAGTAAAGCGTAACTAAATTAAAAACTCAATTTTATCCGCTGAATTTGACTGGCTCCAATCAATCAACTTTTCCACATTACTAATTATACATTTATTTGTTGTTGGCTTCTAAATGAACTCAAAATATAAAATTAAAAAGAGCTCTATCTTTACGGTGCCAAAAAGAAGGAAAAAAACGAAAAAAGAACCACCAACACAAAAATAGCAATGGATAATTTCATTTTCAACTTATAATTAATAATTAGTTTTTTAAAAAAGTTAATGCATCATTGCTTACTTGGGGAAATAGCCACGTAAATATAGGGATCTGAGCGACCTCCTTCCCCTGACCTCTTCACCTTTCCTTGTTTCAGCAACCTGCATTTTGAATCAATCCCTCATAAATCTAATATCAGTAGCAGGTTATATCCATTTAACCCTTACATTCCAAACTTTGTATTTTGGAAAGTTTAAAAGTATTTCATGTCATTCTACTATTAGTAATGTTACAACTTTTCCTATCTTTGAGGTTTTGAATTCATTTAACTATATAAACTTTGAGACGCGCGCGCGCGCGCGCGAGAGAGAGAGAGAGAGGAGGGTGGTTCACATTCTTAAGGCTTTGCTAGTATCAGGACTATTGCCGATCAGCTGGCGAATCCTAACTTCAGAAGCGGATTCGTGAGACAAAACCCTGAGAATGGCTTCAGCTCGGCGGCGTATGTAAGCCGGTGCAATATTCGGCTTGAACTCGTTAGCCAACAATCTGTTTCTCTTCTCCCGACCCATTCTATCCCGCGAAGTGGCGATGCCGCTGGAGACAGAGTCAATGGATACACACGACGAAGATGAAGCTGTTATTTTACTCGCATCAGAATCTGAGGCCGAAACCTTAGTAGACCTGCAGAACTTTGTCAGAGAAGTGGATACTTCTGACTTGCTTGAGCTAATTTTTCGGCAATTGGAAATACAGAAGCTCTTCGATCGTCGCTGTCTCACAACCTGCAAAATTTCGCCAATATAAATTCAAAATAAAAAAATCTGGTTACCATATTTTGATTGAAGAGAAGAGAAATTTAACACGAAACTGAATTGTAAACTCTTCTACAAGGTAATAAGAGTTGATAAAACGAATTCAGAATTAGAATAATCATTAATCTCATAAACGTTGAAATTCAGAAGATCTAGAGAAAACGGAATAAGCATATGAAACTCAGTAAACTGGAAGAACGAAATTCAAAATCAGAAGTCATATGATAGATGAAACTCAATTAGCGCTACTGAAAATAGCTCTACGAATACATCGTATGAATAAGTATTCATCCTAATCGCAAACGCAAATCTGACAGACTATTTTATCAGAAACTGCAACTGAACTCATAAAAATTGTAAAATCAAACAAAGCTCGTAATCACGTTTTACTTCACGCTATACGAGTTCCACAGGATCATATCTAGTTGAGTTTATGAATAGGTAAGCAATTTTCGATCTAGATTAGACCTCAATCTTCTTCAATATGAAATTTCCAGTAGCTTATATCAGAGCTATAGCATAATCTAGACTGGAATTCAACGAAAACAAAAGCATAACAGCAGTAAAGGAGCAAATTTATTAACTCCTTCACCTTAAGCTTCATTATAGTCTCACGAAACGCAGCAATCATCTTCGTACGATGAGATTGTGATCTATCCTCCGGGAACGAGACATCAACAGCGGTCACAATTGACGAATCCGATGATTTGCTTTTCGAAGTCGAAGTTGTATTACTCAGAGCTACCTTGTGCGAAATCTCAGTTATGCTATTGCTTCTGCAATACTCAGAAGAAGACAGACTGATGATCAGTGATCAGCAAACGCTGTAATTGAAAATGTTAAATGCAAATGGAAACGTTGTTTGACTTTAGATTAATCGGTCTTACTTTGAAAGAGGAGAGGGAGATATGGCTGAGAGAAGGAGAAGAGCAGAAGCAACTTCACGTTCACCTCTACTGGGAAATGCTTCTTCCATTGTTCCTTCCAGAACGTTGTTTTTGTTTTCTGTTTCTATTTTGAAAATGGCGCGATACGGGAATTATTTGAATTTTGGTCTAAAGCTTTCGGAGCTATATGAGTGAGCTTTTGCAGTTTCAGATATTTGGATCAAACATTGTTACTGAATTTGGGTTAGGCCCATATAATTACTAGATGGAATTTTTACCTCCTATAGCAAAGGTTAACACCTTATTTATTTTAAATAAATACCATTTTAAAAAATTATATTCTATAGATACCTTTTAAGGTTTATAGCAAAATATTTAATTTTGGTTACCTCCTAGCCCTAAACCACTAAATACGATATTCAGTTACACTATTTTCTTTCTCTCTCTCTACTTTGATACATCACATTCTCTTTCCCCATCCCATTAAAATTTCCGCTCACAAAAGTCTTGTTGAAGCAGAAAATCAGTACAGCGTGAGTAGAATAAACCCATTTGCGCTTATCCTCTCCACTCGTCCTCTTTGACTTTCCTTTATGCCGTTTTTCTTTGCGCCTACTGTACGAATAAGTGCTAGAAGTTGCATATGTATGGGTATAGGAAGTGGAAGTATGATTCAGGGTTAGTGTTTCAATTTCAGTCTCAGTTTGACGTATTGTTACTCTTTGCTTCTTTTTTGCTGCGGTGGGAAAGTAAAAGGGCTTATTAGGCAAGAATTCAACAAATTGATTAAGAAAAGTTGAATCTTTGATTTTCATCAAAAGTGTAGAGAAATCAAGAATGACAAGTCCTGGGTCAGAGAGATTTGCTTTGACTCCGGTGAATCGAACGCCTATTTCGGCGTCAGGTAGGGTTTCAAGTTCAAGAACCCCTTTGACAGATGAAGTCATATGGAAGCGACTGCGTGAAGCTGGGTTTGATGAGGACTCCATTAAACGCGGAGATAAAGCAAAGTTAATATATTTCAATGTATTTTTATGTATTTTATTGTATTCATTGTCTTTTTTTTCATTGTAATTCAATGTATCTCGTTGTATTCCATGTATTTCATTGTATTCACTGTCTTTTTTTTTATTGTATTTCAATGTATCCCGCTGTATTCTATATATTTCATTGTATTCACTATCTCGCTATATGCCATGAATGTATTCATATATTTTTTTTAATTAATATAATTTATGTATTCAGATGTATTATATAATTTCTCTGAAGATTGCTATGTTTTTGAGGTATTTTTCGGTTGAGAATCTTTTTTATAACTGAAAATACAAAATTTGTGTATTATAATTGAGTTTGTTGAGTTATATTAGGAGTCTATTATGTTAATTGATTCACGTTCCGTTTTAAAAATAGTGTAATCCCTTATTTCACACTGTGAATACAATCGAATACAATAATTTGTCCAGTTGTAACCCCATATTTCACTCCATGAATACATTCGAATACACTCGAATACAACAACTGATTAGCTGTACTTCCCTAATTCACGCCTATTTTTGCTACTGTATTCATGAATACAATAACTTAAATACATCAAATACATCTTATAACCACAGAAAAGGTATCTATAATCCGTAATATAGCAAATGGTATCTATAGATGGCTAATTACTACTAAAAGATGGTGTTTTATGAAAATTTCTCTTACTAGATTACGCCCATAGACCTGTTTTTGCAATTTTTCGCTTAATTTTCCCCTTCTCTTTTTTCTTTTTCTTTTTCAGGATCTTACACAAAAAGCCACAATTATACACTTATTATACATGTATTATTGTTGGGTCCAAACACACACATAAGTATACGCGTGATAGTAGGCTATAATTATGCATTTTATTCGCTTATCGCACTCTAATTTACTGCACTTTAATTGAGTTCGAGCTTTAATCGCTAGTGTTTTGCATTAATTATGTGTTTTATGCCTTGTAGGAGTGATTCCGAGTGATGTAAATGTTATGAAGCTAATTCGAGTTATATGGAGCTTTGAAGTCTGAGTAGAAGCCCAAAAGATTAAGCCAGGATTGCGTTCGGGGATCAACGGATGATAGTACACTTTAAGAACAAAACGAAGAATCGAGCAGGCATATTGCGCATTGTCCAGTAACTTACACATAACTTTTCACTCAAAATTCTGTTTGGGCTCCACAATATATCATTGGAAAGCTATTTAAAAGGGATACAACTTTCATGTTTTATATTTTTCCAAATACAGCCGCAGTGCGTGGTGCTCCGTGGCTGCCTATATTGCTCCTGCTTCGAAATTGCACGGTTCCTGATAAGGTCAACTACCACACCGCGTGGCGCATCGCCCCGTGCAGTGCGCCTGTGTAATTTTTACAGAGTTATTTTCCTATTTCGCGTGGGAGAAGGTATTTCCGTTTGGGCCTGACCCTACTTGGTATAAATACATGTAAAATATTATTTTGACGAACTTTTGACATACTTTAGACCTAGGGAGAGTACACACCATGCTTGGAGGAGGATTCTAACTAGTTTTTCTTCTCTTATCTTCCTTTAATTTTATAGTTCATTAGTTCTAGAGTTTTGGGTGTTGTATGAACGTTGTAGTTTGAAGCTTGAATTGTTCTTATTATTTTATCATATTGGTTTATTTATTCAATCTTGTGCCTAATTATTTGATTGCTTGGTCACCAATTGAATACTATCTATGAATCTAAGATTGAACTCGGGAGAGAGAATTCTAGATTGCAAATAAGATTGAGTATAGCAAGATTTTGAGCTCGAGCATCGGGAACGGATTTGCTGTTAGGATAGGGATATACCAATCGCGTTGCTTGGTTACTATACAGGATTATAAATGTGTTCTTGTTAATCATAATTTCATAGGAATATAGGCGGTTAGGTTAGCATAAATAGTTGAGTGGTACTTCGGGAGAAGGCTACAAGCAATATTAATCCTATCAACCAATAAACAGATAAACTAATTAGACAATTTAAGTGGAAGACTCAACAGGATTGTTAGCTAACCCATAGCTCTGGAATATTTTCTCCCATTGAATTCGTCTCTAATATTGCCGACTTATTTTCTTTAATTTCTTAGTTTGCTACTCTAGATTAGTTTTTGTTAAATATTCATACTCTAGGATTCGCTTGAATAGATTAATTATTTGGGTTTAATTTAGTTGATAGTTAATCACAAGTCCCTGTGAGTACGATATCTGGACTTGCAATCCTATATTACTTATCAACCACGTATACTTGCATGTGCGTTTGGGAGCAACAAGTTTTTGGCGCCGTTGTTGGGGACTTAAAAATTACCTATTCTAATATATTAGATTTCTACTTTTTGTCTACTCAAGTTTTTTTTAATCTTAGTTTAATATTTTATTATCTTTGTTGACATGACATCTTGGAATGAGAATTGGTCGAATATTGGTTATTCTTATTATGACAATCCTTGTCCATATTGTGGAGGACCACGCTTGTGGCAAAATTGTGTATCTCAATCTAATGTGTGGAATTTTTGTAATGTGTGTGGTTGTCAAGGTGGCCATTGGAATGATTGTCCTAATTCCTATTATCATTCTAAGAGCTTTTATTATGATGTTTCTAATAATGTTTATGAGTTTGATAGGAGCAATGAAGTGAGGATATGGAAGGCATTGCTCGTATTTATGGACATGATGAAGCAAGTAGCCGAACAACACGATGAAAGTCAAAAGGCTATACAAAGAATTAGTGCAGCAATCATGAGAATGAAGACCGAGGCAGAAGAAGTGGCTAAAGAGAGCGAGTTACCACAAAAAGATAATTTTGAAGAAGTAGATATAGTGAGCGAATCTTGGATAGAGGAACAAGCTCAACTGATAAAATTTCATGAGTTTCTCCATGATGGACTTTCAAATATGGCAGAACAACTGATAAAAGGAAGAACAGATCTTAGACAAGAGATTGACCAATTTGGCAGCTTTATTCGCGACTTGGATGCAGATTCGAGTGCAAAGGTTGATGCGTGTAACGCCCAAAATTTTAGTGATGAGTTGTGTGAAGCAAAAAAAGATATTCTAGGCCAAATTAAGGAGCTAAAACGAGAATACCAATCATTAGACCATGTTCTTATGGATGATGCCTAGGTTGAGAAAGTATATATCATTGAGGACGTCAAAAATAAATACGTTTTGGAGTTGGGGCATGTTGGTCCTCATTCTAATCATTTTTCTACATTATGTTTGGATGGAGACATGGAGATCGAGCTTTTGGAGAGATGTATAGATGAAGAGCAAGACCTTTATATTCTGAAATTTGTGATGCCAAGGAGATAAAATGACATCCCTCACTTAAAGGCCAAGAAGTGCAAGATGCAATACCTATTGCTTGGTTCCTTTATTTTTACACCACTGCCTAGGAACGTGACAGAAAAATTGATGCAAAATTGGAAGCACAATTTA